CAGCATTCATTCTCCTTATTCACTCGTCCAGAGGCTCAAAATGGGATTCTCCAGAAACAGCTGCGTATGTACACGGCGTATTCAATTCAGCTACTGAGACACCTTCAACTGCTCAGTGATAACGTGAGAATCTAACGGTTTGATGGTCGGTTAAATCAAATAAGCTGTATTTAGTGCTGTGGTAAGAACTTGGCTGGACTGGCAGCTTCCCTAGCGGAGGTGGGCACAGGAGAGCCAGGAAATCTTTTGTTTATTCATCTGTTGCAAAGAGGTGCTTTCCATCTGATGATCAGACAAACACCGGTGAGTATATCCTCTCTGCGTAGTTAACACTCATCGATTCTTCAGCTGTCTACACAAAGTAATTGTAGATATTCACTTCTTAGGAGATATCCGAATAATTTTACTAGTGGTTCTCTGATTACCCTGAGGTTGTGAGGGGTAGCCACTTATTCGTAAAAACTGCGAATTTAGGACAGAAATAAATTGAAACTCAAAATGGTCACAATATTGGCTAATCTTTTCACGAGAGAACGTCTGCCTCATTGGTTCCAAATGGACGACAAAAATAGCTACCCTGCGGAATCCAAGAATCTGGTAGTGTTTCCTTTACTAAATCTCCTCCCAGCCTGTCTTCCCATTTTGCGAATTAGTGCTTGTTCTCTCGCGTTTAAGTTTTCTTATGTGATCGTTGACTCAACTTCAGATTTTCTTGACTGGATTGCCTAATGAAATGCAACACCTTGTCGAAGAATATAATGAAATTGCTGTCCCTCTCTACCAGAAGTTTATGGCTGCCGCATCGAGTGACCGCAACCTTGTTGTAAGTCACAAATTTGGATGCTTCGAATTTTCGTCTATAAGGTTTTCATAGATTGACAGCAAAAGCGCTTTGTTTAGATTGTTAATATATAGTTCTTCGATAAATGATGACGTTTGGATTTTAAGATAGTTCTTACAAATAACTTGCCGCTTTAGAATACTCTTTGATTATGTACAAATATTGAATCGCCTAATGCCGGTGGCTATTTGAAACAACGTTACATATACATTTAACTATGTATACTGCTGCGAAAACTTCTGGTAATTTTGCCTCATCGTTAGTTTGCGTGAACATGATTTTTAAATTCTTGTACTGTTAACGTCTACGGTAATCTTGTAATTAGTGATCAGTTTGAATGTGCAGTAAAC